TCTAATATGATGTGGTACACCCTGTAGTAAAATAAAGGTTTATATGAAGTCTATATATCTAAGAGTATATAGAAGAAATGAGGGGAAAACTGATTGACGGGATTGGAGAAATATTATAAAACTTTATATTTGATTTATACAATAAAAGAGTCAAATTACTAGGCTTTCTACGCCAATATAATTCACCAAAACCATACTGCAGTCCTTCAATCATCATACAGGGAAATTTTCATCTTTCTAAACATCCCAACGAATGATTTTACAGGTTCGATCTTTCAAATGTTTAATTAACGTAATTTTCAACAAATGTTGAATGAGAGAAAATATTGTGACTGAAAATGTTCCGATGTTGTTTGTTTCCCGTCAACTCATATCGTAATTTCTATTGTTTGGAATTTCAAATTTTTGGGAATTTCGCTTTGTTGTATTTCGTGCTAGGCCGAAAGCGGAGTTTTATAATTTTGATTGTATCCATCACGCAGAATTATTACGCCCATCAATAATAAAAATGCACGTGACATAAACCACGCATTTCGTTTATAAATTACCAGCATCGTCTCGCTGGGTATTGATTGACTTAATTTTTGTTAAATTCGATGAATCTTAGAAAGAAAAACTATGATCCACAAATTTCGAATGAAAAAAGAAAAAAAAATATAAATCTTTGGAAACGTTATCCCTTCGGGCCCGACTAGAATTTTGTTCTCTAGGAAAAATGCGCCAGTCGCGGCCAGTGCATGAAGTTTGGCGGATTTAGAAGATTATAATTACGTCATCAGCATGAAAAGGGCGTGACTGGACAGTGGACATGGCAGTATACTATGGAGTATAAAACGCACTCTGGGTTAGCTGAACATACTTTACTTTCTATATCTGACGCAATTCACCGTGACAGCTTTTCAAGCGTTTCCTGTTATAAACCAAGAGTATTTGGATGATACAAAAACCGGTTTCCGTGCAAGCCTCCCCCCTCCCCGTAGTCATGCACCCTCTCTCAACTCTCCGATGGTACCTTGGTACCTGTAGGTACCAAGCCCTATGGTTTAAATTGCTATGATCCAGCGGGCAGGGAAAAGGGCAATATCTCGCTAAATTAAACTAAAATATAGATATGTTTTATCTAGGAGAGAACCAGAAAACTCTGGAATAGGGAGACAAGAGAGAACCTGTTATCTATGAGAGAACCAGAAAACTCTGGATTAAAGAGACGGCTTTAACAGGGGTAGATAAAGGAATTTATCAGGGGATAGCGAAACTTTTATTGCGCGTAGCGCTAAAATATTTTTTCCTGCCCACCCTTAAAATGTCTTGCAGACCCCCAGGGGGGGGGGGCAAGATTTATCTAGTTCAAAATTTAACAGTTTGCTTTTTATACAATCACATTGAATATCGATGTATATACTCATTGTTTAAAGCCATAAGCCATAGCTCACAAAATTGAATTGAGCACGAAATTCAAACTATAAAACATAAAACTACAAAATAATGTTAAGTCTTTTATTATTTTTTTAAATAGAATGTATTTAACTCTTAACTCTTTTATTTTTTAAAATAGAATGTATTTAACTCTTCGCATTTAAAATTTCCGAATATTCTCACTATTTTCCGTACCTAATTTTGAAAATTTCACCAATTTAGCTACAGGGTTGAGAAATTTTCCCGGGGTGAGCCGACCCTCACCCCATTATCCGCCCCTGGACTTTTAGACTAAAGTTATGACTTTAAATACTCCAATGAAGAGGACAGTAAAATTAATTCATTATTTGATTATTTATCTATTTATTTATTATCATTATTATTATTTGTTTGAACGAAGATAGAATGAATTTCATATTAACATCCAAATTATAAAATAATTTTTTTTGAAATTACACGGAAATATTCTACCCTTTCTCAATAAAGAATCAAAAGTTGATTTTATGTTTGTAATTGTGGATATGCATAATGTTATTTACTCGATATATCTAGTGACGTTAAAAATTATCTAAATTATGAAGAAAAAAAATATTTCGACAGCTTTTTAGATTTAAAAAGCTAAAATCCACTTGGATTTAAAAAAAAACTTTGGTTTAAATTATTTTGTAAATTGAAAAAAGGTTCTTCTCCCCCCCCCCCTTTCTTTTTGCCCCTCCCTNTGGGGGGGCTGGGAATCCCCACACAGGATATACGGGGGTTCCCCAGCCTTCAGAAGTTTAGACTCTCAAAATACAATCAGTTGATACCTATATGTTGCTAAATTCATAATGTTCTCTCTAGCTTCGTGTCCTTTTTCAAATCTTTAAATGAGAGTTTAAAGGAACTGTTGATGTAAGTTTAATCAACCCTTCACCTCCAGAGACATGCCTAATTCACCACGGTACTCTGGAGTCTTGGCACCTTTTTCTAATCGAACAATAATGTGTTAGAAAATGCTATTTTTTCAGTCCAAATTTTGTAATATTATTGATAATTTTGATTTCCTGCAGCAGAAACTAACATTTGTATAGAGATAAACTACAATTGAAAATACACAGTTTTTAAAACTTTAAACCATGTGGATATCTACATCAAACTTAATCATCCTAAGTTATAAGGGTACCGTTGTGAATCTAGCATGTGACTCTTTAAATGGAGGGTAACTTTATGTTTTCTTTTCTTTTGACTTTTTAACTTTGAAAATGTACGTATAATTGTCAGCAAGTAAATATGTTTTCTGCGGTTTACTGTTTAGTCAGTAATCTTCTATTTCTTACCTTTTTTCGCCCAAAAAATAAGGATTTTTTGCATTTAATTTTTTATTTCTTTTTGTAGCAAGATTTGAATTCACCACGCTCTTTTGATAAATATTGATAGATCCAAACTTTGCCTATTTAGACATGCCCGGACATGACTACATCTATCTAGATCAGCGTATACATTTAGACATGCCCGGACATGCCTACATCTATCTAGATCAGCGTATATATTTAGACATGCCCGGACATGCCTGCATCTGACATGCCTGCATCTATCTAGATCAGCGTATATATTTAGACATGCCCGGACATGCCTACATCTATCTAGATCAGCGTATATATTTAGACATGCCCGGACATGCCTGCATCTGTCAAGATCAGCGTATATATTTAGACATGCCCGGACATGCCTACATCTATCTAGATCAGCTTATATATTTAGACATTCCCGGACATGCCTACATCTATCTAGATCAGCGTATATATTTAACATGCCCGGACATGCATACATCTATCTAGATCAGCGTATATATTTAACATGCCCGGACATGCATACATCTATCTAGATCAGCGTATATATTTAGACATGCCCGGACATGCCTACATCTATCTAGATCAGTGTATATATATAAGTTGACGTTTTTTATACCTATTCCCTGTTTGAGGGCAACTGTAAGCTCTTGTACTCAGTTAATGCTGGATTAAACATCAAATAGTTTAGTCCTTTTGAAATTAATTTAATCAGACCCAGATGGGCATTGTTGTAGTTGGATGGGTTTTAAATAGAATTTGGAATAGGAATTCTGTTTCGTGAAATTGCGCGGAATTGTGCTCGAATTACGCAGAATTGCGCGGATTACAGGGCTCGCAGTTGCTCACAAGTAAAATACACTTGGGTTAGAAACCCTATTTAATTAGGTTGGTTGTTTTAGTTTTGCTATAGGCTTATTTATAATCTGTTATGACATATTTTCAAAAGATTGCTATAAAGAAATGTTTGTTTTTATCAACTTGACACAAATTTTACTCCGGTTTAAACCAAAAAATAACAAATCATAAATAATAAATTAATTTTTGTTAAATATCTCATAACCGACTTTTTTGGCATTTGAGCTACATTACGTACATATCTAATACCTGCATATTCTAAAAGCGATGAAAAAATTTATGTAAAATCTTTTTGAAATTTAAGATTTTTACAGTTTTACATTTTTTTTTAGAAATTTAAGTTTATTTCTTTAAAATGGAGGCCCGGTTAAAAATATTTTTGTCTTTCTTAATATAAAATGCCGCTCTAATTAGTATTTTGAGTTTGATCTACCTTTATTTAAAAAAAAATGCCCTGAACAGTATTCCACTGTTTTCTGTTTGCCACTGTATCTTATAAACTATGTTTGTTGATGATTGATAATCAATATATATTATGTTTAATTGAGAGTGAATTGTCAATGATGAGTTAGATTAGAAGAACAAGATGTTTTGACGCAATCTTGATTTGTAACAAGATTGTTTGTGTTCATGTAGAGAGATAATATATCGTATCATCAATGTAATATCTCCGTATACACCTTGGTATACGTACAGGTATATCCTCCCCCCCTTACACAGATATACAGATGCTCGACTACCTGCCTGTATTACAATGTGTTGGCATGGTGGGGGGAGGGAAGGGGGGGATAACTGCCTGGATACTTCCCGCCGCCGCCGCCTAGGTTTTTCTTTCTCAGTAGAAACCTACCTGCGCTGTAAGGAGCCTGGAATTACGACTAACTCTATTCCAGTTTTTAGAAAACTGAGGTCAGGCGAAACCATCATTTTTTTAACCGTTAAATAACAAGAAAATCCCAAAATTTGGGGGGGGGGGTAAAATCCGGGGTTTTCAAAACGACCATAAACTAAAGGGTTTCGCATGTTTGAATTTCAACAAGTTGTATATAAGTTGTAATAACACCTGTCTTCAAAATTAGAAAAGGAGATTCAAGGTTTACAAATTTACTACATTCTGAAATTATAATTGCGAAATATATTGCGTATTGTTTTGGTTTTGAGACATGCATGGCTTTCTTTTGCGTAACTATATACTGCAGTACACAACCGATATTATATGAGTTTGCGATAAAATCTATTAATAATGTTAGTAACGAATTTGTTTTAATTTCGTTGAAAGCCAGATTTTATTATGCATAAAGCGCGAATTTTAATAAAAATGTTTACAAATTTTGTTTTGTTTGGAAAACACCGATATCAAAAGTTTAAAACATTAAAATTGTTTTAAATTTGTGATAAAAAAAATATTTATTAAACGATGAGATTTTGATCATTAAAAGTGAATTTTTTTATTTTTGAATGGTTACAATATGTTCATCAGAAGTTTGCGTAAATCTAAAAAATGTTATGCTTTGTTCATATTTGTGGTATTATTAAATCGTTCCGAATAATTACGTGTAAATTGCATACGAATCTCTCAGGTTAACTAACTAAAAATTTATAAGATGAATCGCTTTAAAAAATAAAAGATGTATATATATATATATATATATATCCAATAATAATTATCAGAATTCACTCGTCGCTTTAAAAAATAAAAGAGATATATATATTATCGGAATTCACACGTCCACATCCACCGGAAAAAATACACCCCCCCCCCCCTCTTGCCTAGCCCTGACACGGCAAACTAAAAAAATTACGTGAGATTACAATATTACACGTTTTCTATCAGAATTCCTTTTATTTATTAGCTTTTGAAAATTACATAAATTGCTAATATGTAACCAGATAAATTTCTCATACTTGTAAGTAAAATCAATACAAGAGGAACATAGGAGGTCACAAAGGTGAACCAGTAATATCCAATCAATTTGACCTTCTCCCTTTATCCAATAAATATTTTAAAATGTAGGATTGTAATTTAAGACGTAATACGTAGATTTCCAAGAAATGATTAAAATAAGATAAAGCTCCTTTCAAAATGTTGGATGGAAATATAAATTTTGCATAAAATGTTTGTTTATGAAGGCAATCATATTTTTACGTGGTATAACGTAAGTTGTAAAATATACCAGTTTTATTTTACAACGGTTTGCAAGATTAAAAAACGCAACAAAAAATCTTGCCTTAAAGGGAGTGTTCGCGAAAAATTAAAGGGGGTATAGGCTTAAATTTAAAAAAAAATATTAAGATATGCAATAACGAAGACAATGGGACTTTAAAAAGTAATTAAAAGTAACCCTCTTTGGAAAACCAATTCTAAAAATAAGAATTAAAGTTTTTCAAATTTTCTTTGATTTCAGATTTTGCGACAAAACCCAACATGAGGATTCTAATTTTTGCCTGTATTCTCTCGATACTTCTTCCAGCTCTTCAGGTAAGGTTAAAAGATATAATAAATGTAACAATGGTACGGTGGTCAGCGATTTTAACAATTTAATGAAGACGTTTTTCTGTTTTGGTTTTAATTTATATCAAGTTAGTAAACAGCATGGATGCACAAAAACATGGAAACAAAGAGAAGCTGTAAATTAAAAGCCTCTCATTATTTATTTGTAAACTTGTAATTAGAAAAAAGCTTTTTAACAACTAAAATAGACGTCTTCATTATATTGATATAATTGCCCACCACTGTAATAGCAATACTAATTATATCATCATAAATTATTGTTTTTTTATCATGACATTTTGATTATTCTTTATTCATAATCATTAAATCAATATTTAAATCATTAATAGTTCAAACCTTTATTTTTTCTATGATCATTTTGATATTGTTGTGCATTTAGCTGTCACTATTTTTCCCCCCCTATTTTTATATATGTGAACTATATCGTGTCCATGGTCAGTTCATGATAATTCACATATATAGAAATAGGGAATACAAATATTGATGTATGGAAAACATTAAAGATATCAATCTTACGCGAAATTCAGTTTAATTTGTCGTACGCAACTCTAATTGGTCGTTGGCAAGGAACTTTATACAGGAACGCCCAACTCAGATATACGCAAATTGTGTACTGTTCACTGTGGGAGGAATGTAAACAAACCCAGTGCTCCTAAAGAAGTTGACGGGAAAGGAATAAAGCTCTGATGTGATATTACCAACAAAAAAACAAGTTAATATATCAAGTTAGAGCGAATACATATGATATTTGGCTTTCTGGTCAATATATACAATACAATAGCAATATATTCTTATTCCACCCCTTGGGCCCTTTTCCCTCAAAAATGATGCGTTGGCCCGGAATTCTTTGTTTTGATCTCCTCCCACTGCAGTACACAAATTTCGCCGCATCAAACATGGCGGTTCCTGGTCTATATATTTCTTGGTCGCTGCCATAGTATTTATGTTCTTTAATAATTCATAATTTCAGGGTAAACCCGGGCACATGGTTCATGATTTTTATAAGTGTGCATCAGATTACTACAGGTAACCCACAACCCCAACCCTTTCTTCTTAACTCCCCGACACACTTTGTTTATTTATACATCTACAGTATAATACCCGTTAAATTATAAATGTACAGTATTCTTTTTTCACAGTTTAAATTCTATTTTCATTCCCAAAAACTCTAAATTGGAAAGTTAAAAAAATTGCTTAATTGGTATCAAAAGTTGGATACTGGCAATTAAGCAACAAAAAATCGCTTAAACAATCACCAAGTTTTGCTGCCAAATAAGCGATTTTTTTTATTTCCTAACTAAGAGTGTAGGTTTCAAACAGATCAGAAACGTATTGTTTCTTTTTAACGGAAAGTATAATTATTCATGGAATTAAAAAGTACGATAGAAATGAAGAAACAATCGAATTTAGGAAAAATTTCAAACATTGTCGCGACACAACGGAGTACTCGCGACGAGGACGAGGACTCCAGCAGGGACAGTATAACTCATCCCCACACTCATCCAGCTCATCAATCACTCTAGGAATATATCCAGTTCTACATCTTTATCCTACTTGGCGTGTCTGACTGTTTTATCTAATAACGCCAAAACGGCTGAACCGATAGGACCCAGGGAAAAGTTTCTTTGACATTTTATTATTTTGAAAAAGAACTTTAGAAGGATTAAAAATGTCGACTTTTTAAAGCAACAGTTAAAAGCTAAAATTGTCAATTGAAAATGGGGCGGGAAGTACCTGCCTTGAAAGCCTGGCCTAAAAGATTAAAAAATGATGGTCATAGAAATTTTGAAGTTTGAAGTTGTCTCTAAACTAAGGAAGATATTTAAGGAACACCATTATCTTCGTTTAAGTGTTCTGCAGTTTCGGGGAGTAATCTAATCAATCTAAATCAAGCCGATTTTTATTCCTTTCAAAGAATGGCAGTACATTTTTTATATTTTTTTCTACGAAAAAGAAAATCGAAAAGTTGGGATTTCAGACTGTTTTTCAAAACGTTTAATTAGTTTAAATATTGAAAAAACGTGAGTTTGTGCCACAAACTCTGATTCTCTAATCCCTATATCTTAGATATTTCTAACTCTAAACTCTGCTAGATAAAAAGAGATTGTGGCAAAAACTCTTAATTCCTTTACAATTCAAATCAATTAAGTAATTATTTCATTCCTATAATTTTCAGAAGACTAAAAAGCCGAATTCTTTTTTTACAAAAGATTGCTATTGATTTTTTACATACAATAAATTAATAATCATCAGCAGACACATAATTTGTTTTTAGATTTATTTTACTTGAATAAATGAATAATTATTTTGTAAAATAACAATAAAAAATTACCAATATTAGAAAATCAAAGAACAACAAATATAAACAAAAATGTGTTTGCACTAAAAACTATGTTTTAATTTATTTGCAAAAATTTTTACAGGATATATTTATATTTAGGTTTGGCAAGTGTACTTCTACTTTTGCGAAAGTATCAATAATAGAAAGGTATTTTTTTCAAATGTATTTCCTAATTTTTTCTCATAATTCGGAACTGATGACTCGTCTCAATCTTAGATATTCAAAATGTTGATTATTTGATCAACTAGAATTTATAGCTTTAAACATCAACGTCTACGACATCAAATTGCAAAAATAAAAGAATTTAAAAATAAAAAGTTGAGGCGAATAATCCTAATCAGTTTATCTACTTACGATTTTTTCTTTAATTCCAGTTGGATTCCCCCAAATGAAAAGATGAATAAAACATTTACAAAGTATATTAAAATCAAGAAAAAAAATCAGTACAGATTAATTAAAGGATACTTTTTTTAAAATTTCTTTTTTCTTTTTTATCAGCCAGCCCTTGTATAAATAACAATTGTGACAAAATTCTGTTTTCTCTTTATTTGTCATGGTCATAATAAATTCAACGCTGGTTGCACATCAGGAATTTACTGTGTTTACATGAAAAAGCGCAAAATTTTTGCAAAGGAATTGAGTTTTTGCAGTCACAAAGTCTGATTTTCTAATCCCTACATCTTTGCAACGCGATGTGGTATACCTTTGTTATTTAAAAGTATGATTATATGTTATATCAAATAATCTATGTTTGAAAGATATAGAGAGTAGACAATTTGAGTTTGGGACAAAGACTCAATTTCTTTGTCAAGATATTCTTACCATATTTATTTTGTTGATAAAACAATAATTATAAAAATGTTACTGAAAGCATTTAAAATTTTGAATTAAATAATTCTGTCAGAAAAAGTTTGTTGTAAGTTGCTTATACCACTCTGACCAACAAAGGTTTAGATACTTGATAACTCATATTTTTCAGATGTAACTCCAACATTCTTCAATTCAAACATTTTAAAACCATCAAGAGAGAAAAAACAAACAATGGTCACTCAGCAGTTAAAAATCAAACTTTTTCCAGTTTTGAATGACTTTGTGAAAGTGCGCGGAACTAACTCATCATTGAAGATACATCACTCTTCATTTCGTTCAAAAGAAGTGCCAATCAGTGCCATTCCTACCGTCCTCCTCCTTTGAACGCTCTGCCATCCCTCCCTCCCTCTTACCTTTAACGCTCTGCCACCCCTACCTCCCTCCTCCCTGGGACGCTCTGCCATCCCTACCTCCCTCGATCCTCCCTGGGAAGCTCTGCCAGTCCTACCTCCCTTCTCCATGGGACGCTCTGCCATCCCTACCTCCCTCCTCCCTGGACGCTCTGCCATCCCTACCTCCCTCTTCCCTGGACGCTCTACCATCCCTACCTCCCTCTTCCCTGGACGCTCTGCCATCCCTACCTCTCTCCTCTTTTCTCTGTAGTATGCCTGATCTCTATAATCAAACATTTTAGGTGATTTGGTAAAATGTGGACAAAACCTTGATTTATTTAATTTTTTAAATAGCAGAATGTTCACAAAGCAAGGATTTTTCTTTGTTCATTACTTAGAATTCTTCCTTTTACAAAAACAGCTTCTCTTTATTCATAATCTCATATTTTGAATAGCATTTTTAGCGTCGCTACTACTCTATTGAATGCGAAACAAATTAGCGAAAAAATGAAAGCCAAAATTCCCTTTTTCTGAAAAATTATGATTGAGGATTCCTTTACACTGATATATGTCTTACCTCTTGATATGTTACATGTATGTAACTAAATGGTTTTTAGATAAATGTTGGGTGATGGATTTTTAGATTGATTTTTGCCCTTTGACTGAAATTTAAAAAAAAAAACCAATGTCGGCTCGATAAATGTTTATTGATTGTATTAAGTGTTTAGGATTTGCTAGCGGAAAATAATACAAACCTAATACATGTGTTTTTCTCTTTAAAAACACGAGTCTTATCTGAAGATCGTTAAAAGTCCCTTTTTTCATTAATTAGTCAATCTGAATAAAGATTAGCAGAAAAATTTAGATGGAGTAAATAATGCCATGAATAAATGATTCCGATTCTTCTGAAAATGGATCCTAAACACTGATATTTAGTGATGGAAACCCCATAATATTGTCAGCTGAAAACCTGTTAAATGTTATCTACACATTCCATTTCGATTCAATTGTTCAGAGACTGATAATTTCTTGCTCAACATATTTCTTCTTCAAGATAAAACCTTGTTTGATGCAAACAGTTTTCTGAAAATGTATTTGCTAAAGGACTGTTCACGTTATTTCAAGTGATCCTCAATTTAAAAAAAACGGCCTGCCCGATTCACAACAACACCATAAAACTTTCGTTCTAGCGAAAGCAAAGGCAGAAATCCTTGTTTTTCTATCTAAAAAATGGATAGGTTTCCAATGCGGTCTTCACTGTTTACAGGTTACAGTTGTAAATTTTGCGTGCAAAAATTAACATGTGGGTCACTTGAAATTCGTGCACAGTCTCTTAAAATGTAAATCTTATTGTGTATATATATAGTTCTGTACCTGACTTCATGTCTCAACTCTATAAAGGTTGCAACCTTTTTTTTGAAAACCAAAGATTTGAGATACGCATTTTTCGATTTCTATGTACATACATGTACAAACATTGTACAAACCGTTTGGAAGTAAATTGTTTGAAATATTTTTTTTCGATTTCTATGTACATACTTGTACAAACATTGTACAAACCGTTTGTAAGTAAATTGTTTGAAATATTTTTTTCGATTTCTATGTACATACTTGTACAAACATTGTACAAACCATTTGTAAGTAAATTGTTTGAAATATTTTTTATAAATGTACAATTGATATTGTTGGCCCAGATTTAAAATGATCACACAAATAAATACATTAAAGAAGAAATTGATGGTTGTTTTTTCTTAGTTCATGAGTATAAGTAGAATCTAATGTTTTTTGAAACTTAAGCAATTCTAAAAAAAATTTTATAACAATAATTTTATGAACATCATAGTATCTATGAGCATATTACCGTGCTTAAAATATTTTAGGTTAATATAAAAAAACTTAGGGTTCTTCCATACAAACCCTAAAGCTCTTTTCTTTGTAACGTGAAGTAGGGGACTGGGGGAGGGGGGAATTCTAAAGAGGGGTGGGGCCAATATACAGGTGGGGGGGTTGTTGTTAAAAATTAAATCAACAAAGAACTTAGTTTAAGGTGTAAAGAGAGAATGAACAAAAACATTATAAATGAAAAAAAAAATTTTAAAAATGAATAAAAAAGTTTTGAGACATTTTTGAAAGGTAATTTTATTAAAACATTTGTAAAAACTGTATCTGTATTTACAACTATAAATCTCTACAATGAAATAAAGTCTCGAAAATTATAATTAATAGATTTGAACTGAAAATTATGCAAAATCATGTGCCCCACCTTTATTTACGTGTTAGGTAGTTGGCACTGGACCAGAATTTAAGATTTTCCGGTTTTTATCTTTGTTTCTTAACTTAAGTTTTTCTGATCTAATAAATCCTGATTTTAGGTTTAAGATTCCCGATCCTAGGTTTCCTAATCCTTGGTTTTCTAATCCTAGGTATCCTAATCCATTGTTTTCTAATCCTAGGTATCCTAATCCTAGGTTTTCTAATCCTAGGTATCCTAATCCTAGGTTTTCTAATCCTAGGTATCCTAATCCTAGGTTTTCTAATCCTGGGTATCCTAATCCATTGTTTTCTAATCCTAGGTTTCCTAATCCTAGGTTTTCTAATCCTAGGTATCCTAATCCTTGGTTTTCTAATCCTAGGTATCCTAATCCTAGGTTTTCTAATCCTAGGTATCCTAATCCTAGGTTTTCTAATCCTAGGTTTCCCAATCATAGGTTTTCTAATCCTAGGTATCCTAATCCTTGGTTTTCTAATCCTAGGTTTCCTAATCCTAGGTTTTCTAATCCTAGGTATCCTAATCCTTGGTTTTCTAATCCTTGGTTTTCTAATCCTAGGTTTCCTAATCCTAGTTTTCCTAATCCTAGGGGTCCTAAGCCTATGTTTCCTAAGCCTAGGTTTCCTGATTTCCAGTTCTAATATTCCTCATATGTTGTTTTCTGATCTAAGGTTTCTTTGATTTTAGGTTTTTCTGCAGAAAGCGCTCCTGATCTAATTTTTGTTTCTCTAAAACTTCAAACCTAAAGTAAATTTAATCTGACACAAGAATGGGGGGATAGGTATATGAACTGTAGAGTAACTGGTTGTTGCTGCGCAGTTAATATGGTTACCGCGCCCAATACTCAGCTTTCTTCATTTTAAAGTTCATCCTTTCAGAGGTATGTAATACAAGGAGGGGCTTCTGGGGCCCAACCCCCTCAAATATTAATGAAGTCTGTAGTTTTCAGGGGTTTTCAGGCCCCCACAGGTGCTGAGCCCACCTCCCTGAAAAAAATGAAAGGTCCTACTCGGACAAATTTCTGTATACGCCGTTGTAATATATATATATTTGTTGTGGGACGGGGTTGGGTGGGTGGAGGGTTGAGGGCGGGGGATAAAAAGATGAATTAAAAGATTTACAGATAGTTAGAAAAGAAATTTAGTATTTGCCAAAAACTCAAATTTTTATCTCTTTATCTCTGCATTCCAATATCGTAGACCTTATACATTTCAAACTATGAATTCTGTTAGGTAAAATAATTTAAAAATGGAATATCGAAGGTTTACACCAGCACATCTATAACTTTCTTTTTAATTATTATTACTTATTAAGGATCAGAATACTTTAGTTTGAGGCAAAAACTCAATTTCTTTGCGATATTTTTCAGTGTTACTTTTTTATATTTAATTACTAGAAACATTGTACATTGCAATACAAATACGTTATACGACCTTTGATAATTCAAATTATGAATTTTGTTAGATCAAATAGTCTAAGTTTTAATTTTTATCAAATGTTTACACTACTAGGTTGCAAATAATTAGTAATTAGAAATTTTTAGTTTGGGGCAACAACTTCATTTACAAAATAATCACCATTTTGTTATGAATCGAAAGCAGTCTATAGACAGGTTGTGGACAAACAGACGTCAATTTGGAAACAAGTTTATTATATTAATTATCGAGACCTTTGCATGCCCTGGCTGATAAACACTCAGTTCCATAATATTATGCTAAATCTTTTTTTATATTTTTTAGCCCTTGAAATTCGGTTAAACAAAAACAAACATTGAAAACATGTAATACATTTTGTTCACTTGTTCCACTTTTAAACCACGAAATGTCCTATCATTCACTGTTTCAACTTATTAGGCAAGTTAACAGTTTTTTTTTAATGGGTTGAAAAAAGACATTTTGGAAAACAAAAAAGATTCTATGAGATCTATAAAAGAGGATATGCGAGAAATTTCAAAGATTCTAGGCCGAAACCATCGATTTTTTCAAAAGATTAATAATTAAAAATTGTTCACAAGGGATTTTTCAAGGTGTAAATAACAGCAATTTCATTAAATAAATCTGTTTTTAACAAAACTAAAACCAATTAACAAGTTTTAATGAGATTTTTGCAAATTTTTTGATAGAATTTTTTTTTAAATATTGTAAGAAAAATTCAATTTTTGCGGTCAGATTTTTATTTACATTTGCATAATATCCTGGAACTGAGTGTAGGAATGAAAATATCCATGTTTTTATTTTTCGAAACAAATGCTCCTCTAAAATGCATCTGTCTTATGTTTCATGGTGAGATTGGGCAAAATGAATAAATACTGATAGTATTTTGATTTGCAAACATTGTATCAATTGTAGCTTGCATTGATTTAAAATGATTTCATTAAATTGATAATAATTGTGCCAGGTCCAGGGAGTGTTGATTTACTTGATTACTCTCTACGGACGATGACCTGACCCCTGGACTGCGCGGGCCACTCCAGCTATCCTCAACATGCTCCTACCTGGGGCTCTGAGGATCATCACTCAAGTATCCAAGTAAGTAAGTAAGTATAATTAACAGTTAAAAAAGATGACAAAACGTATTTTTTTTCAACGGAGAATTTCGTTTTTTTCCTGCTCAAAATTTCATTAAACTTGCTTGTTTTGATGTTTTTAAATGTTTAAATTTTTAACTTCGTGCCGTTAACGCCGTTAATTCTGTAGTAACGGTACCTTTAAAGACTGGAGCTGGAAACCGTTGTCTCTGAAGCCGTTAATAGTATTGAGATCGTTAACTAACGGTGATTTAAAAAACGGAAAATACCGTTAACGAAATAAAGTTTACCCTCTAAAACTAACGACTACCTGAGATTTTATTTTAAAAACGGTTGGGACTAACCGTTAACGAAACGGCTTGAAAAAGTTGGAACCTGCCCAGCCCTATGACCAAATAAGAATGAAATTAATCTGAATACGGTGGATATTATTGCTTGATCACAAGATTCGCAAAACAAGTTCTGACTAATGAACCAAGTAATTTTGAACAACAAAAAACTATAATCCGTGCCTAAGTAAATTGAGCATCTCTTGTTACGAAAAAATTGGATTATCCTGCGCTTTTATACACAGGGGTCCCGTGAAACAGGACAAAGATTTAATGTAAAAAAACGGTTACATGACTTTAAAGATGATCAGGTGGTACACATCATTGTTGAAAACTTTTAATTCTTAAACTTTTGTGACAATCATTTGGCAATAGATAGACTAAAAACAGTCTTAAAAAATGTCATGTTTACTAGGACACCCTGTAGTTTGTTTTGGCTGAGTAAGGACTATCAATTCAGTTTAAAGTTTAACCAACAGACCGTGGAAATTCACGTGTCCCTGTGGTAAAACTTAAGCTTATGCAATTTATGATTTTTCAGAGC